GCCTATACAGCAAACATAAACTCAGCCCATTAACTCAGTTTTATTTAGGAGGTCTCACTAATTAATAATTTTCCAATAACTAACTGAAGAAAAGAAATATTAAGCATAAACTGAAAATAGACAAGCCTGAAAAGCAGCAGTTCTTTATGTGTCTGTGCTTTCTAATTCCCTGCAACATGCTCTCTGCCAATTAAGATCCTGTGTCATAGAATGACTCTGTCCCTTCATCTCCAAATGTACTCAGAGAGGTAGGTAAAACTTGTGATTTTCTTATTAGTATTTTTCTCTCAAGATGACACATTAGGTCTTCAACTTGAAAGTGAGTTCAATATTAAAAGTTATCGATTTTTATACAGAATGACAACATTACCCAGTCAACCCAGGAAAATAGTCACTCATATACTTATGGACCCAGCCTTGAGATGAAAAAAAAATGAAACTTATTTTATTAAATCATTTAACTGATTGGAAGGTAGTATAATTCCTTTATAGAAAATTTAGATCAGAAAAATTTTAAAAGAAAAAAATTACTTTTAATCTTATAAATGAGATAAACACTATTCATTTTTAGCGTACTTCTTTCACATACTTTTCCTGCTAAATGTTATTTAGACATTTGAGAACAAAATACATATGCCACTTTATGTCTTGCATTTCTACTCAATATTACATTGTAAGCACATTTTTATATTATAAATTCCTCATAAGAATCATTTAAATGTTTACTTCATTCATATTTAATAACTACTTACCATGATTCTTACTTATTAAATAAGTAAACTTTACATAGACATTTAAATTATTTTCCTTTTACTATCATAAAAGAGTTGTGAAATCCAAGCTATATACATAATATTTTCCATATTTTTAATCTAGAATAGATTCCTAAGAATAAGGTGTCCTGTACCAAGGAACATGACCAATTATAAAACCCTCAGTATATAAAGTAATTTGTTTCCAGAATATTATCTATCAATACACATCCAGGCACTGGATAAAACAACTTTCATAAATCTTTGAAAATTTTTCAGAAAAAAATTATTTCACTATTTTTAAATTGTATTTCCTTGATGACATGAAACAGGATATTTTACACGTCAATTTTTCCCCTAAGAATTGCCATTTCATTACTTTTGTTCTTATAATGATATGAGTAGATATTTTCATTATTTGTGAATGTTATTTCAAGAGTTACAGTTTTCTATCACACTTGTTATAAAAATTTTTCTGTGGTAATCCACGTTTGTATGTTGGATAACCCATCACTATTGTCCTTGGTTTTATATCACTGCATTTTTGCTTATTTTGCCCTTCCCCATCTGCTGCTCTGTAACATCAAGTCAGTTCTGACTTATAGAGATCCTGTAAAGGGTTTATAAGACTGTAGATCTTTAGGGAGCAGAAAACCTGTCTTTTCTCACACAGAGTAGCTGGTGGATTCTTTTTTATTTCTTTGCTTTATTTTCTTTTGTTTTGTTGTTGTTGTTAATAGCTTAAAGACTTATTTTACTTAGAAAAATATGTTAATTAATTAAAAATTTTTAAATTAACTCCATTTAGCAATATATAACATTCATTTTACAGTCTTTAAAATTGATATCCTTTGGGATTTGCAGGATAACGTGCAGGACATTCAGGTCATTTTGAACCTCACGTTTGGCAGTTCAAATCTGCCAGTCATTCTTTGCAAACCCCATACAGAGTCGCTGTGGGAGAAAATTGACTCAAACACACTTAACCACAACAAAAATTCATAATTGGAATCTGGTGTGGTACTGTAGGATCAGCACTAGATTGCTAACCACATGTTCAAACCCACTAACCACTCCTTAGAGCCCTGGTGTAGCCCTGTGGGTTAATGTGCTGGATTCTAAAGACCGTTTGAAAGACAAGGTCACCAGTTGCTCCTCAGAAACTCTATTCAGGGTTGCTATTAGTAGGAACCAACTCAACAGCACTTAACAAGAACAAAATAACAAAAAACAATCATTGAAAACCCTACAGGATTCCTATGAGTCAGAGCTTACTTGATAGCACTTAACAACCACAAACAACAATTCTTAATGACCTTAACTATATTCACCAGTTTTGTTAGCATTTGTAAATGCCACCTTTTTTTTTTTGCATAAGAGTGAATAGGAGTAAGAAGTGATGTTCAGGGTTCCAGGATCACCATCTATAGCTGTTTCACTTGGTCTCCTATGTCTTTGTTGCAAAGGGTCAGCTCAGTCAGTGTTTGTGCTGACTCTGCCATCTTGCCCCAGACTCTCAAATGCCTACAACTTTTGATTTAGTTTACAAGTATAATTTCTGTTATCAGATTTACTCATTTTGCACTCACATTTTTTTTTTCAAACATAACTAATTGTTTTGTTTTTTTTTAATTTCACCAATTGGGTACTTAATTCATTTATATTCCCTCTTGATATTATGTCAAGCAAATATTTCAAAGATAAAAGCTATATATTTCATTTCATTATTTTTGTACTATTATCAATAATTTGGAAGAATGTGAAGTATTAACATCACATTCTCTGATTAGTTATTGTTGTTGTTGTTAAGTTCCATCAAGTTGGTTCCAAATCATAGTGATCCTGCATAGGATTTCCAAGGAACCGCAGGTGAATTTGAGCTCCTGACTTTGTGGCTCAAACCAACCTTACAGTCCAGTGCTTTATCCCACAGTTGTTGTTGTTGTTAGGTGCCATTGAGTCAGTACTGCCTCATAGCAACCTTATGTACAGCAGAACGAAACACTGCCAGATTCTGGGCCAACCTTACTACTTTTGCCATGCTTGAGTCCATTGATGCTGCCACTTGGCCAATCCATCTCGTTGGCGGTCTTCCTCTTTTTCTCTGACCCTCCACCTTACCACACATGATATCTTTCTCCAGCGACTGGTCCCTCCTGACAACATGTCCGAAGTATGAGAGACGAAGTTTGGCCATCCTGGCCTCCAAGGAGCACTCTGGCTGCACTTCTTCCAAAATGGATTTATTGGTTCTTTTGGAAGCCCATGGCACTTTCAATATTCTCCTCCAACACCACAACTTAAAAGTATCAATTCTTCTACAGTCTTCCTTATTTACTGTCCAGCTTTCACATGCATATGAGGTTATTGAAAATACCATGGCTTGGGTCAGGCGCACCTTAGTCCTCAAGCTGACATCTTTGCTCTTCAACACTTTAAAAAGGTCTTGTGCAGCAGATTTGACTAATGCAATATGCCATTTGATTTCTTGACTGTTGCTTTCATTAGTGTTGATAGTTGATCCAAGAAGAATGAAATCCTTGACAACTTCAATATTTTCTCCATTGATAAGATTCTTGTTTATTGGTCCAGTGGTGAGGATTTTTGTTTTCTTTACATTGAGATGTAATCCAAACCGAAGGCTGTGCTCTTTGATCTTCATCAGTAAATGTTTTAAGTCCTCTTCACTTTCAGCAAGCAAGGTTGTATCATCTGCATATCGCAGGTTGTTAATAAGTCCCACAGTAGTCATGTTATATATGGCTTTAGTGTTACTAAACCTGAACCTTTTAATATAAATGCAGGCTCCAAAACAAAACATTTACCAAGGAGTTGATTCTGGTAAAATGGGAAAAATAACAAAGGGCATGGAGGAATTGAAGAATATCACCACTTTTTTTAATGCTTCTCTCCTAAAGTAAAAAATGCATAAGTTTCTAGGCACTTTCAAAATGACTTACTTTTTAAAAAGCACTCTCTGTCCAGTGAATTATGGTGCTTTTGTTTCCTCGCTTTAAAAGTAACTGTTTTGCGAAAAGATCCAGAGAACATTTAATAATCTTCCTAAAGCTGAGTTTTGATTTGTGAAAGACTCCTAAAATCTAAGATCCCCTAAACAGTAATTTCTTAAAGTTTCCAATAAATCTGGTGCATACTGAATTGCATACTGTTTTACCTCCTAAGTATGTCCTTCTTCTAGAAGTGATTGATTATAAACCTATGATAGCATTACAAAATTCTGTTCATAGTTAGTGTAAACTCATAAATCTAACAGCCATCGTGTGCCCTACTGTGGTCTCAAGCATACATTCAGTTCAGTTGATTCTGAAATATGACTGACACTCTCCTAATTTCAAATTCAACTTGCTTGATTATTTGTATTCACCCTGGGACATGTTAAAAATAACAAGAAAAACAAATTCTGCCAGTTTTCCATCAGCATAACTGACTAGAGAAGGGACTACTCAAGAGGACTCATGAATTCAACTATCGAATCCACTTTATAAAGTCCTGGTGTGGCACAGTGGGTTAATGCACTGGACTGCAAAGTGGTTTGAACAGCAAGAATGGCAGTTCAAGCTCACCAGTCACTCTTGGAAACCCTATAAAGGGTTGCTATAGGTCAGAACCAACTAAAGGGCACTTCACAAAAAACAACTCCACTTTATGGGTCATATTTATTTTTTTATTTTTTTCTATAGAAGAAAATACGATGGCAGTCATTGGGCAAAGGTTTGCCCAAGGGTAATTACAGGAAAGGAGCTGTGTGCATATTCATACACCATGTTAGTGTATATAAGTGGATGAGTGTTTACGTGAGTGTGTGATTGTGTGTTTTCATATATGTGTGTATGTGAGTGTGCAAATATATGTGATTGTGTGTGGGAGTGTGTATGTATAGGTTAATAGATCACTGTAAGTCTGTGTAAGTGTGTGATTGTATAGATGTGTGTGAGTGCATGGGAGTATATAGGTGTGAATGAATGAATATATATGTGAGTGTGTATATTAGGTAGGGTGACTATATTGAGTATGAGTGAGTGTGCATAAATGTGTGTAGAAGAGGACATATGTTAATCATGTGATCATAAAAATGACCCAACTAGGCTTTATTAGCCCAGGATTGAAATAATTAAGGAAAGACATAATTCTGACTGAAATTATTTGTTTAATCAAAATATAACTGACATCATTTCAACACCTGTACTATTTACAGATAAATCCTCATCCAAATGCCACACTGGATTCATGGGACGAGTGAACAATGTGACAGAATTTATCCTGCTCGGCTTGACACAGAATGCAGATGTGCAGAAATTCTTGTTTGCTGTATTTACAGTCATCTACCTCCTCACCCTAGCAGGCAACCTACTCATTGTAGTGACCATTACCACCAGCCCATTGTTGGGTTCCCCCATGTATTTTTTTCTTTCTTTCCTATCAATCACAGATGGTTGCTGCTCTTCTGCTATGGCCCCTAAAATGATTTTTGACTTACTGGCTGAAAGGAAGTCCATTTCTTTCAGTGGGTGCATGACTCAGCTTTTTGCAGAACATTTCTTTGCAGGAGTGGAGATCATCCTGCTCACGGTTATGGCCTATGATCGCTATGTGGCCATTTGCAAACCTCTGCACTACATGATCACAATGAACAGACAGGTGTGTGGCTTTCTGGTGGCCCTGGCCTGGGCTGGAGGATTTCTTCATGCTCTGATTCAAGTTCTTTTTATAGTTTGGTTGCCCTTCTGTGGTCCCAATGTGATCGACCATTTCATCTGTGATCTTATCCCTTTGCTGAAGCTCGCCTGCACTGACACACACATCTTTGGATTTCTTGTTACTGCCAACAGTGGAGTGATGTGTATTTTAATTTTCTCTATTCTTATCACCTCCTATGTTCTCATTCTTTGGTCCCTAAGAACTCAAAGCTCTGAAGGACAGAGAAAGGCTCTTTCCACCTGTGCCTCCCATATTACTGTAATCGTGTTATTTTTTGCACCCTGTATATTTGTGTATGTTCGACCCATAACCACCTTTTCCATTGATAAAGCAGTGGCCGTGTTTTATACTCTGGTCACACCCTTGTTAAACCCTTTAATCTACACCCTTAGGAATGCAGAGGTAAAAAATGCAGTGAAAAAGCTCTGGAGTCACAGAGTGATCTTAGGTAAAGAATCAGGTGAATAGAGAAGACAAAACAAAATCTATTCATATTTAAAACAAAAATGTCTAATGCATAGTAATATGGTCTTGATGTCAGGATACATGGGTTGAAGTACATTTTTGCTTTCCTTGATATCTGGTAACATGAGATTTCTCTAAAAAAATATTAATATTTGATTAAATGATGAATAAAATCTGTTAATACCTTCTTGACATTTTCAAACTATTTGTCAAAGTTATATAAAAATGTCTCAGTGTATTAGAAACCCATAGCATTATGTATTTAGTACAAGTCTGTGCAAAGTTTAAGACACAAATTATATAACCAATAGGACAAGTAATTAAAGTATTTAAGCAAAAAAAGCCTGGTTGCTAAATATTTTGTTGACAATTCATTGGTTGATTCCCAACTGCTAAAGGAAAGGTAAGATAAATAATGTACGAGATGGGAATCAGTCATAGCTGGGTGGGCTTTAAGGAATGAGAGAGATTCTTTAGGGCAAGACTCACCCAAAATCAGTCCTAAAGTCAAGAAAGAGTCCTGGTGACTTTACAGAAAAGTCACTTTGAATCTAAAGGTTGGTAGTTCAAATGTACCAGCCACTCCTCAGAAACCCTATACAGGTTCACTATGAGTCAGAACTAACTTGGTCAAACTTAATTGCAACAATAACAAAGCCAAGAAGGAATAGAAAAGTCATCCAGGTACAGCCATAGAATAACCTTGCAAATGATCATCTCAGTTAGAAGATAGCACATTTTCTGTCTAAGACGGTCTACCCAAAACTTCACCTAAAAATAGCTTCTATTGAATGGATTTATCCTGGTGTGACACTGTAAGATAAACATTGAACCACAAGGTCTGTTTGAACAGCAGGTCAACAGTTCAAACTCAAGACCCTCTCCCTAGAAGCCCTATAAAAGTTCTCTATGAGTAGAACCAATTCAATGGTGCTGAACAACAACAATAAGAACTAAAGAGTCAAGGTGTGGTTCTGTAAGATAAGCACTGTATGGCTCATCACAACATTAGTAGTTCAAAGCTACCCGTTACTCCTTGGAAACCCAATATGAGGCTACCATGATAGCACTTAACAACAATAATAATTAAAGGATTTGGTGCAAAGAAAGAACTGATGATAAGTGAGTAGTCTAGATAGAAAGTCTGCACAATAAATTACAAACAAACTGTTCATCAGTGGAGTGTGGAGTTATTTGAGACGTGGATGTTAAAAGTGCAATTAAAAGAGAAAGAATTCAGATATACTAAGAAGATACAGATCATGGCCAAGAAAAAGTCTTTCAGATTTTAACAATTTCATATCTCATACCATCATAAGTATTGTAACCAAATGTACAAAGACCTTGAGTTAGAAGACCAAAAGAAAAGAACATGCTCAGCATTTCTTAAACTGAGGGAACTGAAGAAAAAAATGCAAACCCTTACTTACAGTATTGAAGGATTCTATGGGCAAATTATTGAATGATGCAGAAAACATTAAAAGAAGAAGAAAGGAGTATACACAGTACTGGTACCAACAAGGAATAGTCAGTGTTCAACCATTTCAAGAGTTGGCATATGATCAGGAGCCAATGATACTGAAGGAAGAAGTCCAAGGTACATTGAAGGCATAGGCAAAGAACAAGGCACAGGTTACTGATGGAATACAATTTGAAATCTTTCAACAAAGTGAAGTGGCACTGGAGGCACTCACTCATCTATGCCAAGAGATTTGGGAAACAAGTACCTGGCCAACGGACTGGAAGATGTCCGAATGCATACCAAAGAGAGGTGACCCAATGGAATATGGAAGTCATCAGACAATATCATTGATATTCCATGAGAGTAAAGTTTTACAAAGGATAATATAAAAATGTCTGCAACCATACATTGACAAAGAACGTCCAGAGGTTCAAGCCA